AATTCAGACCATCTTAAAGCTGCATTTTCATTAGATGGCCACCAGGTGTCTCTGATGTACCGATGACGAAATGACTCATGTTTAAAAGCAACATAAGTTACTTTTTGACTCCAAACATTCTAGTAGTTTGTCATATAAACAGCTCGGCCGAACTGTAATTTACATCTGTCAGCATTTTTTCACACACAAAAAAGATAAAGATATTTTTAAAGAAAACAAGATTCTTTAAAATGTAAGGCAGGATGTAAAATTGAAAAAATCTTTATAGTGTAATTTTTTTTAGATATGTGAATAACCGACTTACATGTCAATGTCAGTTCCCTTTGTACAGATGAATTTACAATCCTCCAATCAAACTACATTAGTACAGTATCCCACCGTTTAAGGTGTTATATATTTATCTGTGTGAGGTGTATAGATTCAAGTCACTGTTTGTTTCACTTTTCCCTAAATATTCAGCATTTTTTATCTAACCATAATTTATAGTAAATAATTTTAGGTTTAAATCTACATTTTATTTTGAAATGATTTAATTATAAAATCACCCTTTCTTTGGAGCTTTGTGTCAGCTGGTTCTGCTCATTCAAAGTTAGCATGAGTTGTTAGCCTTTCTCTGCTCGTGTCAAACTACAAACCAGTGAGGACATGTCTGTGCTGGTCTAACAAGCTGAAATGACAGATTATAATATTATTGTATCTTGGTTTCATTCAGATTGGAATCTGTGTGTGTGAGTGGTCTAGATAGGTATAACTTTAGGGACATTTTAGAAAATATTATTTGGTGAAATGCTTTGTTGTCCACGTGGGGACTTTTTTTTTTTTTTGGTTCCCTGCTAGGAAAGAGGGTATTCAGAGATTTAGGATTAAGTTTCGAGTTGGAATGAGAATTAAGGCGGTGTTAGGGTTAGGGCAAAGACTAGCAACTTTTACCACAAATAGAGATTGTTCGAATTTCACTGCCAAATAATTTTTGTCCAGAGTTTGCCTGTTGTACTACATAACAGGATGCTTATTCCTACAAAGAAACACATTTCAACACTAAAATTCAGGTTTGACGTTATAAATCAGTTCAAACTTGTTTTGTCATGTATAAGTCGTTGACTGCAGATATCCCAGGGTGCACTTCTGTTGACCAAGTAAACTGGCTGACTGAAAGTACTGGTCATGAATGTTGGTAGTGAGGTTGGAACATTCACAGATGTCATTCGTCATCCTGCAGGGAACCAATGCAGAGAGACTGGAAAGCAACAAAAGGCTCAGGAACCACAGGTTGCAGACCTTTGGAGTACTGTAAGGATTAGGATTAGGCATACATTTGTAATTGCTAGGGTCACAGTTGTGTGTGAAAAGTGACGATGAGTTATAAGAAATGCTAAGAAAAAATAATAATGTTAGAGGAGCTGATGGCAAACATTTGAAATGATGTGTTTTACCATCAGGTGGTACTGTTTGTGTGTAGTTCCAGTGTTTCAGACTCTTTAGGTTGAACCTATTTAAACATTGAACTGATGAAACCATTTACATATGTTTGATTTTCCAGAGGTCAAAGGCAGTGAGGTGACAGTTATGAATGTTTCAGGTTCAGCAAACTTAGATGACTGATTTTGGACATGAAACCCTGTGGACAAGTTGTGTAATAACACTGTGTTTAAGATAGGGAAGGGGATGGTGATGAGGACAAAAAAAAGAAATCTGGTTAATTTTTTTACAATTAGCTCTATTGTTAGAGGAGTAAAAGCACTATAAAAATACAGCCCACCGGATTAAAACCAAAACCAGACCATGTTTACACCTTTACCAAGTTGCTAAAAAATATCATTGCAAGTGCAATGCAACATGAACTGCTTCCTAATAGAACACTACTGCATGTGCCAGTTAATTACATTTTACATCCTATAAAGTTTGTAGTGGTTACTAAGCCTTGCTGGCAATATATAGTGCAGAGCCTAGAGCTGATGTTCAGTGACTTGATTAGTTTTTCGGAGAAAAGAAAAAAACTCCTAGCGAAGGGTAGGAATACAGAGTATTGTACACTATGTATTTGTTAAACTACCCAGTTAGATTCTTAAGTACTTAATGTTGCATTGTACTTGTAATAATATTTTAGGCATGTATTGACTTGCTCTCAAGGTTGTGGTTTGTAACAGCTGGGCTGCATTCACAACCAGCAATTAGATCGCTGACTCTCACACAGAGATCCATTTAAGAATCAGCTGAAAGCAAAATGAGTTGTTACTGCTGTCACACATTCAAAAGTTACCAATGCACGAATAAATAAAACCTGCCTTTTAACATAGTATTTTTTTCACTAAATTCTGAGTCCAAGATATTTTTATAAAAATACCTCTTTTTTTTTTCTACAATAGTCGTTGATACAGTAAATACAGCTTAATGCCAGTGGAAGCTGCTCTCTAAGCATGCACAGTCTTATGGGTAATCCAAATGTCTACGTCTTAGATATGTCTTATTCCCAAACTGCTGTCAAGAATCCGATGGGTTCAACTCGAATTCTCTCTGAATGCCTCGATAACCTCGTCTTTAAGGTCAGGACTTGAACTCTGAAGTAGGAGGAGCTGAAGGAAGGATCTACACAGGAGGGTCTCCATCCATTCTTCAGGAAGTTTCCGATGAAGGTTGACTTTGTGTTGGGCAGCACTGCGGAACCTTGACAAAAATTCCACGTACGCAGACGATCTCAATGTTTCTTTCTGCATCCGAGTGTGCAAACAGTAGGTGACGCCCTGCTCCTCTCTGGTAATGAAGATCTTGTCAAAGGTGATGAAGATATGATGAGCAAAACATCTGTCCACTACCACAGGCTCAGGGTGGATTCCATGTTGATGAAGCCGGGGTTTTTGCGGAGCTCCCAGTAGGTGTTGTTGGAAACCCACCTCTCTCTGTGGTTGGAGTCCACCACTTTCCTGGAGGGAAAACACACACAGGTGTTTCTTGAGATTAAGATTTTGGAGGAAAAAAATACCAACGAACCAACAGTTGATTTCACAGCTCGTTTCACTGCCTTGATTCCAATCGTGACAAGACTTCTTACACGGACAGACGTGTGGTCGAATAACTCATTTTCATTACATTTACATTTCCCAGTGTCGTCCAGGATCAAGCCACTGGAACATGAATCATTCTGTAGAGACTCTGCTCTCAGCAGCAAAGTGGAAATTATTTCGATCCCCAACTTGGTCGATCATTGTTAGATTTTCAGGTGTTCTTAAAAAAATGACCTGATCTTCTCAAGAGTATATTCACAGAGACTTTAACTCCAATCTATACATCTATGTTTCACATTCTTTTGAAAGAATGTGATGAACTAAAGAACCGGTGGACCTGTTGGTGCGTTCACTGAACTCACTTAAAGAAGAGCGCCTCCTGTTTGACGTTGTTCTCTTCGTTCCACTTCCTCCTCGTTCTCTGCATGTCTTCAATGCGCTGCTTCTCTGACGTGGCCATCTCCAGGTTTCCTTCTTCAAGATGCCTTTGTGACCAAATACAACGTAGAGTGAAGAAGTAAATAAGTCTGTTTGATTTCATTTCAAAGCAGCATCAGTGTTTTTGTAAACATTTTTCACTAGAGTTAAGAAAGTGGAGCTTGTACCGCTGATCAGGCCTGAACCTGGCGTCTGTTCGTGGTAACACGTCTTTCAGCTCAGGGCAGAGTTCGTTCAGTTCGATGGCGAATCTGGTGAAACCGTAGTAGAGCTCGTAGTCTGTGGGCATGGAACCTGACGGAGGACAGAAGGACACAGACATGTTTGTTTACACGTTTGTTTACACACAACACGTGTAGCCTAGCTTCACGTGTTGTGTAAAGGACTGTGGACACGTACCTGTCCTCCAAATACATTTAGCCGATGGTGGGACGCCACAGTAAAGACCCTCGTGCCATTTCCCAAAAAGCCTGTGGATCACTTTTCCTTCCTGATCCATGACAAATCCCTGAACCTCGTTCACGTTAGAACTCCAGTAGTTTCCCTGGGAGGCAGAAGTTCAGGATATGGTTTGAACTCCTACTGTACATGCCATCGATAATGCAGTCCATGGGCTGCCAAATATGCTGAATACATTTGTAGGTACCTCAGTTTTTGGGGCTGCATATATTGGTATTGGTTTATATCGGAATTGGAAATTAAGCATTTGGACTATAACGCTTAATCCTATGATATAAAAATGATGTTAACAATTCCACTTCTTTGAGGTGTACAGCCCTAAAGAACAGCACAGCTCTGTACTATGTATAGCCAGTTGGCCATATTGTCTTCACAGACACCTCATTCACCTGGAATACACATTCCAGGTGTATTTTTACCCCGCCATGAACTTCCGACTTCCACAGAAGTGTCACCTGATGTCACTGAGATCAAGGGATCGCTGTCCTGGAGGAGTGGCCAGGCAGAGGGACACGTGGTTGCCCTGTCAATATTAGCAGCTGGTGAGGACACGCCACGGTGACATCAAGTGACACTTCTGATGGAGATGAGAGCTCACCGTCCAAAAATGTCAGGGTAAAAATACACCTGGATTGTAAGTGTAAGAACTGTGAAGTATAAATGATCTGTATTAAGATGACATCAACCCAGGGGGCGCTGGTTTTTAAACTTTTTCTTCCCCCTCCAGAATACTGCAGTATTTGGTCGTCAGTCACTTGTGCGTGTGTACCTTGACGAAGGTCAGTTTACAGAGACAGGCGCTGCTCTTGGTGTTTCTGATGGTGATCTCTCCGTAGTGTTCAATCCACCGCCGTCCACTCAGGATGTTGTGCACACAGGTGGTGACTTTGTTCCATTCATAGTGGTCTCCAAACCTAGAAGAACAAGGCAGAGGAGGATCAACATGAGGGGCTATTGGACCTTTAAGGCCGGTAATCAGAAGGTCCACCAAACTTTAGAGGGGGTTGAACTGTAGGAATACTTTTTTGTGCTGCACAATTTTGACAAAATTAAAACTTCAAAACATTGTAATGAGTCTGTGGGTTGTAGTTACCTGGGGATGGTGAGGTTCACCGACCCTATGGGTAAGATCTCCATTGATTTCCCCCAGAATTTGTTCTTCCATCTCACATCTGAAAAAACAACAACAATGACATATTTTAATCGCTTTACAAAATCCTCTAAATAAAAAGGAAGTGTTTGGACACGGCAGGAAGTCAAGAGTCAGACATCACAGTTATTCCGTTCCTTGGAGAGTTGCTCCTCACTAATGAGGGAGGAAACCTACCTTGCCAGAATGTGAAGTTCTTGGACTCACAGTGACAGGCGGAGACTGGAGGATGGTGGCTCACCTGAGAGAAAACATCGAATGAAGATGAAATGGCCCTGACAGCTGCTGCTGTTGTTGTGTCACAATTATCACAACATTTGTTAGTTCACATTAAGATCATAGTTTTCTTCAAAGTACAAATGGAGAGAATAAAAAAAACTATAGAGAAAAATGGTACCTGTTCAGAGAAAAAACAGAAGCCCTTGTCTTCTCGAATACATTCATAAGTCTCTCCGAGCAACGGGTTGAATGGCTTACTTCCTGCTCTGAAGTACGTGGATGAATAGCCCGAGATGGCGAAAGCTGCAACAAGGACCTGTGGGAGAGTCGTAGGAGGAAAGTCACAGATGCAGAGAAGGACTAGGATAATCCTTTGAGGGAATTCACTGTTGAATATTTTATTTTTCGTTACCATGCGTTCGAATGGATCCTCGGTCTCCGCCGCTTTGTCCAGCAGCTCGCTGTACTCCAGCTCCTCACACATTCTCTGCAGCGTGTTCAGGGGCTCGTTGAGCTCCACAGGCATGGACACCTTGGACAGGTCTTTACCGATGTTGTTCCTCAGGATGTTCCAGAGGTTAATGTTGCTGGTGTCAGGACAGGGTGCTGGCAGACAGCTGCGTCTGCCGTTGCGGAAAGCGCTGCCGGCGAAGTCTCCGTTTGCCACTGCGAAAAACGAAACCACCTCATTAACAGGAGACTGGTTACACCTGTCTGAATACACCTGTGGTCCGGCTGTTCCCTCACCACAGGTGGAGTCCTCACAACGCTTGGTGACCAGTTTCTGACTATGATGTAGTTATTCAGATTCATTAATAACCAAGTGGCAATGAGGACAATTAAAATCCCTCGTTAAAAGATAATCAGACGGAAAACTTGAACCAGAGCAGAGGACTGAGTGTTCCATAGCCTCAGGACGGAGACTGCAAATGTTCTGGACATAATCCTGGTGACAGGCAGAGTCTGGAACAGACTGGAATGATACATTGTCACCAAACTCACAGAACATGTCTGTTTGAGGGTGTAGAAAAGTCGTGTCAGCTCGGTGGATCATTCTATGGCTTGATTATATGACAAAAAAACCATGTCCTCTGTTTGTCCACAGCCGTCAATGAAACCTTCTCTGTCGTCTCAGCTCTTTTCTGTCCTTTTAAGCATATAATGAGTCTTTTCCAACTGGCCGTGGTATACAGTAGGCTGCTCTTCTGTTAAGACTGTGCAACAGTCACACTGCAGACTGCAGAGGTCACTCGTTCTGCTGCAAGGTGAAGTTCCAGTGAAGGACGTGTGTGTGTGTGTGTGTGTGACGTCATTTTGTCAGAATGACTGAAAACGTCAGAGGGCAGTGTGGCTTCGTGATCCGTTTCTGTCGTCCCTGACTGAACCATTTCACGTACTGTACAGGGTTTTTACAATTTGTATAACGTTATTTGTTGAAGTTTAAATCAGCAAATTTGCCAATCCAGAAGCTTATTGACATTAATATTTTTATTTTATTTTTCTTAAATATGACATTTTTTTAAATGTTTTATTTTTAACTTTTTTTTATTTTTAAATTTAAAAAGAATTGTGAGACCCCTATTATAAGGCAATCTGTTCCCTAATGACAATATATTACAATATATTAACCTTCTTCTTCATTGCCTTTACACTTTCATTCATTGCCTGGCAGGGAGCATCAGGTGTTCTGAATCTAAATCTAGAAAGATAAATGACATGGTCATAGCAGCTCTGTGCTGACGTCTGTGATGTATATTCTGAGGCTGGTCATTAACTTTGTGTGGTGTTGGCTGTTGGCAATTTTTCTGATAAAAAAAACTTTTGCAGAACTTGCATTAGAGCCTGGAGTACTTCATGATAATTAGATGTAACATAGAGGATGATCTAATCTGACATTCAGTAGGACGATTTCATGGAAGTTTAAATGGAAGTCTTGGCGCCGAGCAACACTGCAAGGTCAATTTCCCCTGCCGGAAAGATAAACGGACGAACATGCTCTGAGGTGTGTCCACTTGGTGAGATCTCCTCTCCATGTTAAGTACTGCAGAAACCTGGCAACAGCCGCTGCCCATCATGGTAGAGAATTTGACCTACTTTGTCTGGAGACGTTGTCAGTCACGCTGGCGTTGTCCTCGGAAATGTTATCGCTCACATCGCTGACGTATGACTCATCGTCTGAGCCCTGTGAGGGGATAACGGGTACAAAGTGGAGCCAGTCAGTTCAGTGAAGTGGAGTACAACATAAACCACACACACACACACACACACCCAAGGACACATTTGACTGCATTTTGCCAGTGGCTAACAAACTGCAGCTGTCGCCACATACGTATCTGCCCCACTGCAGTGATCATAAGACACGGCGCTGCAGTATGTTTTTGTAGATCATATAAAGTATGTGTAGCAAACACACACTGAGGCCCGAGAGAAAACGATCAGAGCTACCTGTTGTAATAACCTCCATTACCATCAGCTGCTGCTGAGGAACATTAGAGCGAACAGTGTTACAGCGCTCTGACTTTGTCAGGCTCCAGGATGGAGTGGGTTTTGATGAGTCCTTGTTGAGTAATCCTTCACCATGGATCACTACATGACTGTGGAGGCTACAGTGTGTAATGGCTCTCCAGAGGCCACATATATTTGAAGCAGGGCGTTTGCAGCAGGACAGGACAGTAGAAATTATTATTTCAATTTAAGAACAGGACTCTCTTTGAAACAAAGCTAAAAGGTGTAAATCCAGAGAGGCAGATGGAGGACGAGAGTTACTATCTTCAAATACTACGGTGCTGTGAGGAAGGAAAGAATTAATCTCACTCAGGTGTCAGATTCTGTCACAGGTCATCTCTATATTTGCCCTCATTATTGTTTGGTAAAGCAGTGGCCTTTATCTCTATTCCTGATCTTCTCTTTTGGTCCATTTCTGTTTGTCTTTGTTTTTTCATGCAGTTTTTAAATTACTAACAAAAATAAATTTAGTCAACTGCTAGCCTTAGCCACAGAATGTGCCTTAAAGTAAGAAGTGGAAAAAAAATGAAACATCTTAACTTAGCCAAAAATGCGGTAGAATTGACAAATAAAGAGAAAATTAATCAAATATTAGTTAGGTTGGCAAGAATATGCTAATAAAATACCTAAATGTTAGCTGAACATGAAGTAAAAGTTAGCACCAAGTACATCTAAATGCTAAATTTACCTAAATATACAGCAGAAAATGATAAACAAACAGGTAAACGTTTGCTAAGAGAGAGATAAAACTTTGTCAAAAATAATAAACCTTGATTAAAATGCACTAAAAAAGGATTTTAAAATTAGAAAAAGTATCAATAAAATGACCACAGGCGAAGGGTGAACCTAGTATTCTTGGTCTTCCGTCTCAACTGCCTGTCGTCATACCTCATTCTCCGACGAGCTGGCTGACAGAAGCACTTCTTGGGCATCAAAGAACTCGGAGACAGACTCTGACATGGAGAGTCGACTCTCATTAGAAGCCTGCTGAGTCAGAGGGATCCCCATCTGTTCCCTGGTCTGCAGGCAAACACACAACGACACACACGGATCTTCAGAGTTCTGTCTGCTGCGGTGACGTTTATGAACAAACACAGGCCTGAACAAACACCTTAAGGAGACGACACACACACACACACACACTTCATCATGCAGCATGTGTATCCTTGCTAGAGGTCAGGCCGCCATCCGTAACTAATTAGTCATTTCTCCATTAACCCTGCAGTCGGGTTCTGCATAGAATAATGATCTGTTAGACTGAGCTTCCAGAGTGGACTGGAAACACCATCAGTCTGTCAGAGAGGGAATCAATAATAAAACTGACAAATGCAGGAAGCAAACACACCTACGACATGGTCAGCCTCGGAAACCTCCAGAAAATAAGAATGATGTTGGTTTCATCAGAGACACACGTCCCACTGTGACCTACCTCATCAGGAGTGGAGATGATGTTCACACTGACCACTTGTTCCGTCAGCACGGATTCAGAGTGGATGCGGTTGAGCCGGGTTCGCAGTTCTGCATTTTGGGACAGGGCCTGCAGGCAGAAAATATATCCTGTACCTTAGGTAGTCGTCATGAAGACATTCAAACAAAACCTCAAAGTATTACTGGACTTTACACTATTTCTGGAGATTGTGGAGAATGTCCTGGAAAATGTCCTGCAGCGTGTTTGTCCTTAATTTGGATTGTTACAAAAACAAACAGACATTTGCCTAAAACAAACGCATTCTCCAACTGCCATGTTGACAACAGTATAAACAACTTAGGAAAATGAACTGAGAACTGTTTGAAGGTTGTTAAAGTTAAACATTGACAGAAACTGTGCGATTGATCGTGATATATCTACAAAATAATATTTAATCGATTACAGCCCTGATAAAATTTTAAATAAAAAAAACATTTAGTTACATTTTATTTTTAAAAGATGTTTATCTAAACAATCAACACAATGTTAGCAAAAGTTTTTAATTTAATATAAATATAAATCAATATTTGTTGTGACTGCAACCTTTACCTCCGCATCAATTCTTTCCAACCAATCATAGTCTTGAATTTGTTAATAAAAAGTCAAACTCTGTAAACAAAAAGTGCTGTCAACAGAAGTCTGACCAATTGTGGCCTTCATAGAAAACTTCCAACCAATGTTGTGCTGAGTCACCCCTGCACGAAAACAATTAAAGTAAGCTGTGGAAAAATGGCAGCTGGTGGAAAATCTTAACGTCATCAAGTGGTATCACGCCAGTGTACCTTGAAAAGTGTAAGGTCTTTTAGAAAAACTTGAAACCAAATTTGAGTTCACTTTTGTTTGGTATTTGCATTGATAGTACACAGACAGGAAGTCCAACAAGGACGTAGATCAGGATCGACCAGTAGATCACGGAGGGAGTGCTTAAGCAATTAAAAACAAAACAAAAGTACAAATATAATTCTATAGTGTGTAGTAGCGACCATGTACTGTGCCATACAGCATGTTCTGTTTGTATGAGTGAAATATATATTTAACATTTTCAGTGTAGGTCAATCATTTTAGCCCAATCCAAAAATGTGTGGCTAACCCTCGTATACAGCATTTATTCATTGCATCTAAATATATATATATATATATATATATGTATACTGTATATATACTGTATATATAGATATATAGATAGATAAACATAACTGATGTAGATCAGTTTTGTTAAAAAAGACTAATCTAATGGTTAAAAAAAAACAACCGAAAAGATTAAAGAAAATCTTCATGGCTTCTGAACCAAACTCTTTGCTGCTGATATAACATCAACAGTTAGTGGAGGAGTTGTACAATTAAATCAGTGCAGTAAAAAAAAGCGAGGCCTGAGGAGCAGAGCTAATGAGCTGCAGCTCACATTCCTCTCTCAGACCAATTAATATAGAAGTAAATGAATGGGATGCTAATGAATCACTGGCCCTGGTCGGCGACATCTTTTTTTAATGACGATTAAAACGACAACCTAAACTGCAAATTATGTGTTTAATCTGACGTCCTGTCACAGCAGGACAACAACAAACCAGCAGAGATTAAACACATGTTACTGAAGCCGTGGTCGTGATTGTATCTGAAAACAAAGTGTCAGACGTTAAACGGCTCCTCATTACCTGTGACAGAGACTTCCTGAGGGTGCAGATCTGGGAGGAGTGGTCTGACTGTTCCTGGTCTGACAGAATCTGCTTGATCTTCTCCTTCTCTATGGCCACAGTGTTAAAGGCTGACTTCAGCAGAGAGTGAACTGCACGGAGACACAGTGAAGGGAATGATTACATCTCCACAAGTTCCTTCAGTAGTAATCTGGTCTGGGCACATGCTGTCTGTATACCTTTCTGAGCTATGGTGCAGAATTCCTCCTGCAGTTTAATGTAGTCACAGGTGTTGTCTATGTTGTCCGACAGCCGAGACACAGGAGGCTGGAAGTCCACCAGCTCTGCACACAGGTTAGGGTTGGATGAGTGGAGGCGGACGGGGGACATGCTGGTAGACAGAGGGACCTGGAGGGAGAGGGGAAGAACATAAAAATAATAAGTACCAGCACCGTCTCCGCGCCAGATCAAACTGCAAAATAACAGCTTGCTTTTTGTAGTTGTAGAAAATTACACAGGGGGATGTTGATGTTTAAACCATGAGTGTCTGTTCATAAAATAAGTCTCCAGTCAATGATGGTCTTTTTAGGCAGTGCCCATTAAGAGATTTAGCACAAGTGACTGTTGATTAGCATTAATGGAGAAATAATTACTCCTGCCATGACACATGACACACTCATCGGTGTCAGTTACAGTGTAGACTCATTACAGTCACGTGAGGAAGAACAGAAAAAGCAAAAAAGGTGTTTGATCAAAGCCGTGCTTGGTGAAGCAGCTGCCGCTGAAAGGCAGCAGATGAAGTATCCCGGTCGAACGATGCTAACCTTCAAACATGGAAATTAATACCAAAAATTTACACCAACACTGTTAACTAGGAGTCGATTAAGGAAGTAGAAATCTAAAGAGTGGTACCTGCAGCTGGAATTTTGCATCTTTGCCGACACTTTTTGTTCTCCATCTTCTGTTGAAGCGTTTTTCTTTCTTTGACATTTCTACACTCTTTGTGGCGCACATGCACAAATATGCAAAATGTGGTTAAAAGGACAAACACCTCACAAGAAAAAAACAGTGCAGAAGTTACACACCGATTGAATGACACAAACAACAACAACAACACTACCACAAATGAATGGCGAATCAAATTTCAGGACAAAGCGTGAATGTGGCGTTAAATAAATTTGTTTCAGCCCAAAAAAAAGTTAAAAACAATATAAAGTTAGTGTTGTAGAGGGTGAATCAGTCAAAGAAGCGGATGATAATCATTAGCTAAGCACTGCACATGCATGTAAGGATGTTTTATTAATTGTGTTTAGCCCAACCAAACCCCTGCACTAAACTTTATTTACTCTCATTTTAATATCAGCTTCTGTAAGTTCTATCTCATTAAAATTAGCATTTAGCTCACATTAGCACCACTGGTTCCAAAATAAGTCTCATTTAGAAACCGATGCCCTAAATAGGTAATAAAATACGTACACACCAGCTAGGGTGTGACTAAAACCACGAAAAAGAAACACAGAAAAATTGATCTCACGCTGTTTGTGTGTGTGTGTGTGTGTGTGTGTGTGTGCGTGCGCGTGCGTGCGTGTTGCTGTTTTACCTGCATATCTGTGAAATTGGGTGCTGACTGTGTCCTCTGCAGAATCTCTAGACTCTGCAACAACCGACTCAGCTCAGTCAGGTTCGACTGGCAGCGTGCAAGCTCTACAAATTAAATTCACACCCACACACGAGCACACAAACAAACAGACAAAAAACACATTTAGCCAAATGTGTCATGAAGTGGTCCTCAATCCTCCTGCTGTGACTTTTTTTTATTTGATCCACTCCGGTGTGGAGTCAGATTTATTGCCAGGATGAGGGCAGAAATCACACTTACCCTCTGCACATTTGTCCATCTCCTCTGACTCCTGCAGCCAGGCAACCACCTTGCTCTGGCCATTACTGTAGGAGGCAGGCAGGCTGCTGTTGCTGGGGGCCACCGGCTGCCAGGGCAAGCTGCTGGGCTTAGCCTGCTGTAATGATGACACATGACCAAAGAGATTTTCTTTAGGTAAATAATAACACATTCTAAATAGTGTTTAACCAAAAACCAGAAACTGTAGCATGCGTCAATTAAGATGCTAGTTTTTCTTTTAGCTTCACAGAAGAGAATAGGTTTCATGTTAACCAGTTAAAGCAAGAGCAACATTTTCCATTTCCTTCCCTTAAAAAACGATGTCTTGTTGTGACAATTCTCAGATTGGCTCCAGCTTAGTGGCTGAATAATTGAATGAAAAGTTAAAAAAAAAACCCATCACTTCACATTGATGTTTGAATCAGAAAGCTCATCTTACCATTTCAACTGCAGACTAAAGTCTGAAGACTAATGTAAACTAGCCTCTCCGGCCATTAGGAGGACATAAAATAGGACAGTATGTTAGTCACTGTGAATGTGAACAGCAGTCTGGAGAGCAGAGACTGAAGCAGGTTGAAAGATTGTTCCGTTTCTGCTTCACATAAAAACTGTTGTTCTGCACTATTCGCCTATAAGAGAAACATCTAGTTAGTCTGGAATTATGCCTGGAAATATTACACTCTCTGTTGTTACAGGTGGTAGTTTGCCAACAGTGATGCTGATATATCGCAGTACACTGAGTCTTTTTCACCAATTACTTTTAACAAGTGCAACAGCGTTAGCCCATTTCCATGCATGCATTTTTAAAGAAGAGCCAATTCAGATGAAGGAGTTACCTTCGCCTCGTGAACCGCACTTGCTGCTGGCTGGGGGGAGTCCACGGCAGCGGGCGGAGGAAATGCCCTCATGGTGGCGTCACGGGGAGAGCGTACGATCTCGTTCTGCCTGTACAGCCGGTGGTGACGCAGCTTTGATACCCAGGCGTCAAAGATTTCTTGTGATTTGACCTGGAGTTTAAAAAGAAAAAAAAACAGAAATTACACCGATCGAGACAATGAAATGAAACCAGTGGCTGTTCATTAGCGTTACCTTCAGGTGATAGATATGTTCCTCCGTGTCCAGGTCGATGCGACGAGCACGCTTTTTGATGGACATGACTGACAGGCCAACGTCGATGCTGCAGTGCATTTTGCCCTTCTGGATCTGAAAGAATGTTTTTTTGTTATTGTCCAATTGGTCACATTTCTCTGAAAAATGTTGTTAATTATGGCAGTGGTTCCCAAACCAGGGTTCTCTCCCTAACCTGCGACAGCCGGTGCTGCAGGAATTCAGAGTTCCTTCACTGAACTGTGTTGAAAGATGCTCAATTCGCCTTTAATGGCTTTGAGGCTGAAAAGAACCTTCACCAAAATCTCAGTACATGTAATTTAAAGTGTGCAGGACACCACGGCTCCTTAACTTCTTGGTTTTATTCCCTTATTTTTCCCACTCAGTGACACACTGTCCTCAAACGAG